TGGAATTGTGGGCTTTCATGCAGTGGCATTTCGGATGATGTTTCATCGGAATAATGGCTCTCCAATTCAGAATCATCCACCGTCCCAACTTCACTCTCAGTCTGATGACTCTCCATTCCGGATTCGGTGCGCTGATACATGTCAGGAAGATTATACATGTCAACTCCTTCCTCGTCTCCAGCCTCAGATTTGATCAAGATGCTGTTTTCGTCATCCTCATCATCCTCATCATCCTCGTCATCCTCGTCATCCTCGTCCGCCGATTCGACAAAAGAATCCTCCGTAGATGGAATGGGAGTGTCGGGGTCAATATGTGCCATTTCAGCGGTGCTTGGACGTTCGGGACTTGAGCTAGGTAGAGGCGAATCCAAGTTGTAATCTGACTCCCGAGTAAATGGTTCCTGGCCATTGACCTTTCTCAAAATTGATTCTCGTGAGATGCGAGGTGGTAATTGATACGAACCCAATCCTGGAAGATCATCCAATGCATCTTCATCTTCATGATCTTCTCGGTCTTCTTTATCTTCATGGATTTTGATGGGTTGGGCCTCTCGTTCAGGTGTCTGACTCTTACGTGCTCCTGCACGACGCATGCGACGTTCTCGTTGCTCATCTCTCTCGGCAGATTTTGGTCTACCTTCAGAAGACTTTGGCCTATCATCGTCCTGAATCATCATCAAATGCAATCTCTCCTCCAAAGTCAGCTTGTTTCCGTTCATTCCTTGAAGATCTGCTTTGCTGATAGAGGTGGGAGGAGGTGGCGTAGGCAGGTTTCTGGGTGAACTCGTTGCTCCACGCTCAATACCCGAGGACGCCGAACCCCTTCGGTCATTGGCAGCCATACCGGGTAGAGGTGGTAGTGGTCGATGTTCGCCATTTGAGTTTAACGAATCGTTGCGTGTCCCGTTAGGACGCCCCGCCGAGGATGGAGGACGAGCATCAGGCCTTGGACTACCATCTGGACCGTCAAATGGATCATCGAAGTAAGCAGAACCTTGACCATAGCTATTTCTCGGGCTGGGATGTCTCCAGTCATCCGGTCCAACAACTGGTGTCTTTTCAATATCCTCAAGAGAAGCATCGAAGCTATCGTCTTGCTCAAGCCCGTTGTCATGGTAGTAGAGATCCTCTTCGTCATCCTCCTCGGAATCATAACTATTCTCCCGAGAACCTGTTCCAATAGATGATATATCAGGTGTAGCTAATTCGTACTCGTTGATCTGCGGAGGAGCTACATCAAAAGTAACACTCTTCGCATGTCTGTGTAAACTTCGTCCAGGCGGAAGCTCTCGTTCTCTCTCATCACCCGAATCTTCATCGCCAAAGGTATTGTGCTCTGGATCGTAAAGTGCCTTGCCAGTAAATCGACTAGTTGCCATGGAGGACTTCGTAGGAGAAATTTGATCTTTGCTGGGTGATCGTAGACCGTTTGTTGCTGCTGCTGCTACCTTCAAGGGCTCTCTGTTCGGGCTCAGAGGCGGCGGACTGGCCAGTGAAATACTGCTTTTACTATCCGTCTTCATGTGGTTATATGGTCGACTATGCTCCGATCTAAACCCTTCCAGACCTTTTCCTCCATAAGCATTGCCTTGTATGTTCTTCGCCAACGGTCTCTCAACAACGGGTATTGACATGGGGTCGTATTCGAGTTTCTGCTCCCTTGCGTACATGGTGCTGTTCTTCACACGCGACGCGCGCTGTAAACGTTCGATGGATGATTTTCTTGTTGGGGATATCGAGGAATCTTTGAACGCATTTTCCGTGCCGACTCGATTTGGTGTGCCTGGATCACGGTTTTGCCAGAAGAGATGTGGAGAGGAGCCTTCGGCGGAAGTGAACGGGGAGGACTGGAATGGAGACGAATCTCCATTGAGATTGAGACTCATCTTCTACGTCAGAATTAGCTTTTAAATCTCCGAGCGAGAGAAATGCTGAAAATCGACACATGGAATTCTTACCTTTGTGGCTTGCTTATAACTTGGAGAATTCCGCCTTTGAGCTGTTGGAGCTAGCTCTGAAAGTGGTCGCGGTGTAGAAGTTTTGACTGGTGATCCAGATGATATGGAACCTTTTTGAATCCTCAGCGGAGGAACCTGCATTATAAATATTAGATTTCATGTTTGTCTTGCAAGAACCATTACCACCGCATGACCCTCCACGCGCTCTCTCATCTAAATTTATCTATCGATGTGTGCGCTTACCGGTTGCGAAGACGAAGAAGACATCTTATCAAGTTACCAACTTCCACCCCCAAAAAACCCCGAATGTGTCGTTGTGGAGAAGGATAATCACCTTGCAGTAGCCAGATGTATATTTGTGGAATGTGGGATTTTGGACAAATGACAATGTTGATAAAAAAGCAAGCAGGCCTTTTCGTTATCAGACGCGAGGAATGCGCGTAGCTGGTAGATGGATTTATAGTGGTTCAAGGAACGAATGTATAGGTAAGTTGATTTGTTGAATTGGGGTTACGAAGGAGAGATTCACTCCCGCCTTGAATACTGTACTGTTTGATTTAATGGGAGATTAAAAAAAAAGGAGCTTCAATATTAAAAAAAGGAGAAAGCGGTGGTCGTTATTGACGCGGAAAATGAAGAATCTTGAGGAAGATAGTTTGCACGTACAGGTACAGCAAAGAAGAATAAATTAGAAGAAAGGGAGGCAAGTAATTGGATGATGTTTGTTTGGGTTGGGGCGAGGGAGTTGAAGGGGGTTGTATCAACAAATGATTGTCGTACCGGGACCGATTATGTTATCACTGGCTGACTGGACTGGTGGACTGGGCTGGTTGACTGGTAGGAGAGAGAGAGAGAGAGGATAGAAGAGGAGAGGAGAGGAGAGGAGAGGAGAGGAGAAGACAGAAGACAGAAGACAGAAGACGAAAGAGTATAAAATTGTATGGGGCTGACTTTTTGTGGTTTTAATGGGATGGATTGGGATGGATAGGATGGATGTATACTCTATTACCTGTAATAGAATAATGAAAGAATCGGGCAATCGAATAATAATCGGATAATCAATATCAGAATAATAATCACAAATATACCTAGGTACCTAGGTAGTAAACAAGAATTTATTTATTATTATCGTATATTATTGTTATTATTGTTAATATTATTATTATTTATATTATTATTATGCTTGAATGTGCCGAGTTGGGTAACTTTTTTTTTTCTTGGAGTACCTACTAGATAGGTATGTGTGGTAGGGGTGGATATTTAGACGCGTCGCTCTAGCAACCGTGCTCCCTTTTTTTCTTTTCTTTCCTTTCTTACTTCCGTACCTACGACCTCGATATCGCTACCTCAGCCTTTCTACCTAGTCGTAGATTGTAGTCTTGTAGTATCTCCTAGTATAAGTATGAGTATGAGTGTGAGTATGAGTGTGAGTATGAGTGTGAGTATGAGTGTGAGTATGAGTGTGAGTATGAGTGTGAGTATGAGTGTGAGTATGAGTGTGAGTATGAGTATGAGTATGACTATGACTATGACTATGACTATGACTACCTACCTACTACCATGCGTATGACTACCATACATATGACTACCATCCATATGACTACCATCCATATAAAAGTAAAGTAAGATATAATACCGACCTCTTCCTGACCACTTCCTGACTACTTGATGCCTAGTATGAAGTGTGAGAAACCTTGAATAACCCCTAATCCTAGTGAAGTCTTCCACGCCCCGCACTAGAATTCAAATGAAATTACAGACATCATCCGATGATTGGCTCCGTAAACTCAATTGTCGCCCCAATTGATAGCCAAAGTTCCAAATCCGTCCCCATTGGATTCGATCCATGGATGCATTTGAGACCTTTCGACTCTTTGGAGCAAGGTAGAAGATTCGAGTATGTGTATGTGATCCATCGACAATTATGAAAGAGAAAATCGCACAATGCCATTTGTTCGCCGTGGATTGTCGGGGTTCCTGCAGAAGGTCCAACGAGGATAATATCGAATAAGAGCAAAGATACACACACGACCCAGCCCGCTACTATATGTTGCTTCATGAACCATCCACCCCGTCGTCTCACATATCAAAAGACGGTATTCACGACATGGAAATCATTGGTTGTTGGCTGCATCGTGAAGAATCCATTCAATGTAAACAAAGAGAAAAAGGGACACTTTCCGCACGCACGGCGCTCTTCTCCACTATGCGCAGCTTATCATTCATGTAGGTAAAAGGACGTGCAAGGGATTGGGGACGATGTAAGAAGAATGATGCAACCAAGTCCTTCGTACATACTACATGCTACATACTACATACCGATACACCTACATACATATCATGATTTCATGCATACGACTCTCTCATAGGTTGTCTTCGCTATCGTATATCTTACCTACATATCTATGGTGGACGGCATCAAGGTAATTATTATTATTACGCAGTAGGTAATATATCGGTATACATCTATCGATATATCGATATATCAATAGTTACCATATCCATATCCATATCCATACATATACACATACGAATACATACAGATACCTACACACAAATACCTACATACAAATACATACAAATACATACAAATACATACAAATACATATAAATACATACAAATCCATCCAAATCCATCCAAATAAAAACATCCACAAAACTTGGAAACAACAGAATCCCATCTCACCATCAATACCTCCCTCCCAAACTACCCAGATCTCTCTTAATTTTCCGAAGCTACATCCATGAATAAATGTGAAAATAGCTCCGTTTCCAGCCATCAATCTACCCCTCATCCCAACTCAGCTGATGATGACAGCCGTCCAGCGACTAGGAACTTCCCTGCCTTCCATGGCAACATTCAACTGGTTACCGAGAGCGATGTTTCGATAGCAACAACAACAGCAACCACAACTACAACAAAAACAACAACCGACTTGCATTCTCACCTACCATTTGGCCATTCTGCCCAGCTGCAAATCTTCTCCCTTGCGCTCGGGGACTGTCGACTGTGTCGATACAGAAACCCAAACTATCTTCATCATGACTGATTTACAAAGGGGTAGCTATTCTATCTAATATTGCCAGACTCCAGTGACCATTCTTACCACCGGGTATGCGCAAACGCTCCGAAAGCAATGGTCATGTCTCCCGATAATATATCATTCAAGGTGGAGCTCGCAGGTCGATGGTTGTGTCTCTTGCATACGAGAACCACATATCCTAAAACAGCTCCCAGGCTATGGGGCATAACTTTCATTATCGGGGAAATTGGTCGATCCGGTAATGTTGATTGAATCGCGTTTGGATACCTGCAGTCCTCGTTCCTTTTCCGTCTTGTATTTTCCTCTGCGACCCTTTTCGAAAATCTAGGAAAAAGACATCGGGCAAACGATCATGCAATTCACCGCATACACCATCTGCAAGCTTGACCGATATTTCAGACACAGCATTAGTAGTACCCTTTTTTTTAGGGGTGGTTCTAGAATTTTGGTGACCAAATACAGAGTCGCAGACCCCCCGCTCACCCCCCCAAATCTCTTCTCGTCTATAATCAATGGGACAGGATCAGCAGTACCGTCGTACCTGAGTATTCATTTATCGGGAACCACGACCGCTGCTTGATTCAAAATCAAACTCCTATTGATGTAAACCCAGACAGACGCTCATAAATTCTCATAAAAATTATGTACATCGCCATGACACTTTGGAAACCAAGCTATGCACCATCCATGGGACCTCGACCAGTCTCATCAGGAGAATTGACACCAGAAAATTATGTGTGAAACTGCCCATCACACCTCAAATATATCTGCAATGAACCAAAGGCGACCCGAGCATTCCGTGATATTAACAGTCTCCATGATTTAGCCTCGGGTGACGACGGTGATCTGATCCTCCAACTGAAAATAGCTTTTCGCTCATACCCACCCAGTATCGGTCTCGGTTCGTTTCATTAATTTCAATAAACTCATTTCAATTGAGTTCAACGTGTCTCTCTCGACTCAAAAGTCATGTGTATAAATCACACTGGGTGCCACGGATGACCTTACCGTTAAGGTTTGGAAAGAAATGATGAATGACGAAGCCAGAGAAGAGATGGCAATTTCTGTACACATATTTCCATGCATGGGCAGCGTGAACGAATTTCTTCGAAATACGATATAGTTATCAGGGGTATCATCAGAGTTTTATGGTAAAGCACGGGAAGTCACCTAGGATCGCAAGGGAAGAAGTGATGGGTGATCTATACCAAGATTCGTCTCCGCATTTCTTGGGCGTCTAAAGGTAAGAGCTAGCTGGTTTCGGATTAGGGACTTGGGTAGATCACTCTATTTTCGTGCGGTCACATCTGTAAAACAGGCATGGAATCCCGACGACTTCATTTTTTTTTATGCTCTGATCACATCCAAACTCCATCGCTTCATCTCTTTATCACGACACTACTAGACGCGTGTACCCCACTCTACTTGGACCAGTCTTGCCATCTCCTGAAGTAAATCTGCCTGGGCTGTCAAAGGTCGAGAACGTTTCCATCCATGAACTTGACAACGAATGGTTTGAGACTTTGAGAGGCTGTATTGCTACACCCCCCCCATTTGAGTGTGCTATTATAATTTGATCTTTGAGATTTTTCTCAAAGCCTGCTCGGACACCACTCATATCACATGAGAAAATCATCGATTCTTCCTAGGAGAATCCTGCAAGATCAGTCACCTTGCAGGTGGAAGTGTCGATGTGTCTTTTGATTGTGATCTTCAAACTTTCCAAAATTTGACTTTACAACTCTTGAAAGAGATATACTTTACAGCCTTCCTTATATTCTCAATTTGTTTTTAATGTCAGAGACGTTTCACAGCGTTGAAAACTTTATGAACATGTGCTCAAAATCAAATATTCGAAGATTTTGCAACCGGCATATTTCAGAAACGAAGCTCTGATGGGAGTGCCAAGTATCCCTCGTATCAAAGTTGACATAGGGATTAAGAAATCAGCCTTTCGCAATCTCTATTTTGGACAGAGATTTCCCAAGTCTATATTCTCCAGTCATTTCAATGTTCCTCCAAGGCTGAGGCGCTACGCGCCAGATATTCGGATTCGTAAATTTCTTGATGAGGTTTGTAGGCGCCAACAGTCCAAATTGCGGGTCGATCCGACGCTCTTGCTCTCAAGATGAAGTTGGTGGCCTAGAACTCAGCCCTGTCTCTGCTCTCCTAAATACCATAAATCTGCTCCGTATTTTAGCCATGCTCGAGACCTTTTTACCCTTCATCCTTCGGGCCTGAGATTCTATTCGGTCTCATCATGAAAATGACAATCCGAACCACTCTGTTGATAATATCACTATGGGCAATACAAGCACATGGCATTAGGCAACTCCCACAGAGAAGTATGTCATTCATAAAACTACTTCTTTGTTCAAGAATCAAAACTGATGTCAAGCAGCGGCCTCGATCTCATACAATGAAACATCAACGAGTTCCGAAGCAGCTACCGCCACTCTTGAAGCCAATCTCGAATGCTGTTATCTCTCGTCATTTCAAGTCGGCCAAGTTCTATGGTATTCTGAAAGCATCAATATTACTGTAGCCACTGTCTCTACCATCGTATACAAATACGACGACACAGCCATCACGAGTATTCAGACCATTCCTACAAACTTTACAGCCCCATCGAAACCCATAACGAGATCGTCCATTAATGGTCTTCCTACAACCATAATTGGGACTGATTTGGGGGGTTACGGAGCCGAGACAACCTTCATTCACGGTACCGCTTTCACCGATCCTTATGGAACAGTCTATGAATCGCCAACACCTGTTTGGGTATATACAGATGTCATATATGCAAACTGCAATCACCGACATCAAAGCATGGTTCATACGCATGCCCTCGCCCGAGAGACATCAAAAGCTCATCCGGTGATGAAATATCTCCTTATCCATCCGGGTTCTTTCTTGCCGATGAAGATACAGATCACGGTTGGAACTCACCGGGAGCTTTTTCAACAACATTGCCAACACAATTGCGTGATTGGATGGTCAATTATGCCGCATCAGATAAATCAGACTCCCTAACAAACCTTGAGAATTGTAAATTGGGTGCTGGACGAGGTGTTCCTACCGCCTTTGTCCCCTATAATGAAATCACGGCTACTACCACCACCACATCAATAATGAATGCGAACTATGGTACCGAAATTGTTGCTGGTTCAACCAGCGAGACAGCTGAATCATCAATACCCGCATCATCTACAATATCGTCCACTACTTCGACTCACACTACAACCTCATATTTCACTCGATCAATCACTAAAACCTCCACTACTACAAGTACCAAATCGGCAATATTATCAAGCATCCAAACAACAATTTCGGCAGTGAACGCAGCCGTCATAAACACAATTACCTCGACGCCAGTCGAAACACCCTCTTCCGTTTCCAAGGCATCAAGCACTACATCTACAACCTCCCTCTATATAACGGCGGGTGATGAAACAATGGTGCAAAACGAGACGATGGCAGGAAGTGCAACCACATCTGCGATCAGTGGAGGAGGATTAGGAAAAATCGTGGTGGTTATGGATTGGGCTAGTACAAGTACTTCAGAGGGTGTCTTGGGGGCGCAGACTGGAACAACAACGATACCAGCGTTGGCTGATAGTACAGTTGCGGGAGTAGTGCAGAGTTCGAAGACGTCTGAGGGAATTCCAGGGAAGAAGACTGATATTGTGTGGTTGGGTAGTGCGATTTTGGCGGTTTGGTTGGGGGCTCTGGGTTTGTAAATGAGATGGATTGGACTTGGTTTAGACATTCTAGAGTGAAGGAACTCATGAAGGACATTCTGTATATATGTTATTTGTACTTGGATATGTATTTAAAAATTTGAAGTTATATACGATGTATCGTATCATACATTTTGCATAAGATCCAGTTTGGGCATTTTGTGATATCCTTGGCATATGAGGTGGGTCAAAAATTATGATCTGCATCGTCATCATAAGGGTACTTACTACCAGATTGAAAAGGGGGAAATGAAATATGCAGATATACTTGAAATCGCATTGCTCCTCATTAATTCATAAGCCCCTCCACGTTCACCATCCTGTGTACATTTCACCGTCACTTGACGCATTTCTGATAACGATATCGAACTTTGCTGACTAAGAATTAAACTTCCGCATCTAAGTTGCAGGCGCGTTTCACCAGATCGCGTCGGCTACTATCTCTCGGACTTTTTTATGCGATAACTTTTGTCAAGGTGATATGAATGATGCCTCCTCCAAAGTCATGGATTTTGTAAGTTTGCGCGGTTTCTTTTGGGTGTGAGAGTGTTTGTTGCGTATATGACATGGCATCGTATCTTGATCTGTGCAGAGAGATGGATCTCTGGATGACAGTGCAGTTACTGATGTTTCTTTTCGATAATTAGTGGCAACGCTTGATAGCGGGCACATCGCTCGCGCCAGCTGGCAGCAAGGTAACTTTGAATAATCCGGAAAAACGACTGGCGAGGTTCAAGAGGGAATATAATCGTCTTTTGGTAAGATAGCTCTGTTGCGAATGTGGGGGACGGTGAGGAGGGAGAGCTAATCAGCATATCTTGTAGCAATTATGGCGCAATGCGACGGATCTCTCTCGAGATTATGACGCTGCGGAACAAATACGCATCTGTCTGTCTGAAATTACTCGAGTGCTCGGCGATGAGTCTCGTCGTCCTTTACCACATCCTTGCATCGCTTTTGCGGCGGAGAAACAAATCTACATCTCGATTGGGAAGATAGCTACGACGTCGTATAATGAGGGGATTATTCGGGAGGCGGTCTCTCTCTTTGCTGCATTGCTTGATAGCGAGGAGGAGAATTTTGTCGAGAATGATGTTTTCGCCAAAAGTCTTATGAATCTGCTGGTTCGGATTACCGGGTCGAATAATATTAATCTGGGCTCGGAATTGGCGGTCGAGGTGGTGGAGCTGTCATTCAATATTACGACCAAGATTAGACTTGACCCGGAAATCTTGCCGGTTTGGTTTACTTCGCAACGAAGGGATGAGGATGCTGCAAAGGGATATACTGCGGATCCACATGAGAAGTTTGCGGGAAAGACACACAAGGAGGATTTTCAGCTGTTCTATCTGTTGATTGATTACATACATGAAGAAGGGAGATGTGGAGATTTTGCGAGGACAGGTCTTCTCTATATTATTGAAGCAGCTTCGAATGATGTGGCGCTGGAGCAATGGATAGTTGAGAGTGATTTGGCTACTCTCATGGCTACAGGACTTGGTGCACTATACAGTCAGCTCAGTCGAAAACTTGTTATTGATCATCCCCCGGATGCATTACCTCCTGTTCTGGCGCTTTCGGATTATCGACACCCTCTTACTACACATGAGATTGTGAGCTCAGTCGATGAGGATTATCAATCGCAAATGGAAACTTTCCTTTCACATTTGGTCTTCTGGCAGGATGTGCTGAATCATTGCAAATCCATGGAGGTTAAACAGACACTCTTGGAGCACTTTCAGGTCATCTTTCTACAACAACTACTGTATGGGTTCTTTGTCATTCCTTGGCTACTAAAACTAATGTCTGTAATAGATATCCATCTTTACTCGAATCTTCAGATGTTGATGGAGGTTCATCGGTTGCAGTATTGACATATTTACGACGAATTCTAGAATCTTTAGATCATCCTGACATGATTCATCTTATCCTTCATTACCTTCTCGCTTTACCTGATACTACACCAGCTCCTTCAGGCTCGAAAGCTTCTGTGAGCGCAGCGAGGAAACGAAAGTCTTTGGATCTTGCAACTCTAGTTGCTTTGCAAGTAGAAGGAGGTGCCCCTGCATTATACAATCTGGTGGATCTTATTCTAGGCAGTTTACGATCAGAAAGTTCACAGACTGTAACCGTTACGTTGCAGCTTTTATCCGTTATTTTGAAACGACATCATCGATACGCTGTGACCACACTACTTCGAACAGGTCATGTATTGGGTGACGGACCGCAACGTTCTATTGCAGCTCATGAAAGAGAAATTGAGTGTTTACTCTCAATGGCCGAAGATCTTGGCGGTGAAGATAATTTTGATGATGTTTATGAAAATCACATCAAAGATAGTATGAATATCTTGGAAAGTCACTCTTGTTCCATTGCACTTGTTGCGCCTAAATCAGCTAGTGGAACTTCCAAGTTTCCCGGTTCTCAGGCGACCATTCCTGGTGCGCCGAGAGATATTCGTCCCCATACTTTGAGACCTGAAGATCCGGTTCTCATGACTTTACTCGATATCTTGTCGACATTTTTCATAAATTCCGTCGAGACAAATCTTTCTTTGACGGCCGCAATTATAGATTTGGCAACATGTGGCTATATGAGTGTTGATGGGTGGCTTTTGCCTGACCCTTCGAAATATGTATATGAAGAATCTGAAGAAGGTAGAACTGATGAAATTGTGGACGATCTTCTTCTCACTAATATAGGAGATCCGGACGAAATTTTGGAGAAAGCACAAATTCGTGCTTTAAAACTAACACAACGTCGTCTCAAATGGTCAGAAACACCAAAACCAGAATTACTTACCAGACTTGATATGTTGGTCGATCAAGTTAATAGTTATCGAGCCGAAATCCCTCGTTTTGAAGATATACTTCAACAACGTCGTGATGCGTTTCAACAAGCAGCATCCATGACCACTCCGGTTCGTCATCGACCTAGAAGTTACCGTGAATCATCCGCCCATACAGAATCACCCCCTCGTCAATCTGCTCTTGATAAAGTAGCTCAACGCATCTTCTCTGGTGACTTTAATACTCCTTCTAGATCAGGATCTCCACAAACTCGCGGTCGTCCAGCAAATCCAAATCGTGAACAGAGAAGTACGAGTGGGAGTCATGGGTTCTCTACTCCTACAAATCGGACGCTGAATCCACCACCTCAGTTCTTATCGAGTGCGGAATCACCTAGTAGAGGGAGTTCGCAATCGAGAAGTCAGGAGGGAGAGAGGAGGGAGAGAGTTATTGTGCCTAGTCAGGCAGCGGCATTTGCGGCTATTGATCAGGGGATTTTGAATCGGAGGGTGGGGATTCCGGAGAGGGTTAGGAGAGATGAGGTTGTGGCGATACCGTTTCCGGATCTTAAGGTTGCTAAAAAGAGGACGGGGGAGAGTGGGGATAGGGGTGAGAGGGAAGTGGAAGTGGAGGTGGAGGTGGAGGTGGAGGTGGAAGCGGAAGCTTCGGAAACGAGGGATGGAGCGGGGGAAAGTAAAACTTTGGTGGAGAATTTTGAGATGGATGGTAGTGGGGTGGAGGGGAGTGGTGGTTCAAAGGGGAAGGAGGAGGAGGGAGAGACAGAGGTAGTGATGGATGATGCAGAGGGAGAGACAGAAGATAAAAAGGTAAGCGTAAGTCATATTCTAACGAATGTTATCGTGTTACAGGAGTTTTTGTTGGAGTTGGCGGCGTTGGTGCAGGTTAGAGCGGGACTTTTTGGGGAGGTTAAGTTTGTTTAGATTTTGGGGGGGGGGGGTTGGGTTGGTTGGTTGGTTGGGGTGGGGTGGGGAGAAGAGGTGAGATGAGGGGGATGGGGTTTATAGAATGAGATTGAAGAAGGTGGATGAGTGAGGAAGATGGGGGAAGAAAGGAAGAGGAAGAAAGGAAGATAGGAGGGAATGAGAATGGAATAAGAAAGAGATAGAAAGGAGGTGAGAAAGGAGGTGAGAGAGATAGTTAGTTAGTCAGTTAGTTAGTCAGTTAGTTAGTCAGTTAGTTAGTTAGTTGGTGTATATGATACCTTTTCTCATTCATTCATTTATTATTCATTTATTTATTTATTGTAAAAAAAGCATTGTAAAGAAAGCATTATAAAAAAAGTATTTATTGATATGGATCAACTCGGCTTGTTTACTTACTTACTTACTTACTTACTTACTTACTTATTTACCTACTTACTTATTTACCTACTTACTTATTTTACCTACTTACTTCTATTTACCTACTTACTTATTTACCTACTTACTTACTTACTTATTTACTTACTCTAATCGTAGAATTCAAGGAGTATAAGAGTAGAGTAAATCATCTTCTCATTTAGGATATAATAAGAGTAAGAGTAAATCAATCGCTTTTAGGGGGGGGGGGGGCATGAGATGAGAGTCATTTGCTGTATGTTATGTTATGTTATGTTATGTTATGTTATGTTATGTTATGTTATGTTATATTATATAGTCTATAATTTAGAATTTTATTTTTTTTTGAAAGGGAAGGGAAGGGACGGGAGGGAAGGGGAAAGGTTCTTGGGGGGGGTCTTGGGGAAGGATTTGGGGAAGATGAGTTGGGGAAGATGAAGTTGAAGATGACGTTGGGAAGATTTTTTAGGAAGGATCTCTAGGAAGTGAAGATATAGAGATAAAGAGATGAAGATGAAGTGATCATCTTGGTTTTTTGATATTCCTGGTTCCGAGTGGAATGGAATGGAATGGAATGTGAGTTGTGAGTTGTGAGTTGTATTTTTTGGGGGGGGTGGGCAGGGAGGGAGAGTGGGGGGGTGAGAGATTGAATTGAGAGATTAGAGGGAAAGAGGGAAAGAAAATTGGGAAATTTGGGAAATTTTCTGATTGCTTTGTAATGTGATGTAATATGATATGATATGTGGCTGGTTTTTGCGGGGAGATATGTATATATATATAGGTATATATGTAGGTAGTTTGGTATAGGAGATGGAAATTAGATGGATTTGGGATGAGATGGAGCTCAGATGGAGATTAGATGAGTTGAGAAGAATAGAGGAAATAATTGGAAGTTGGGTTATGAATGAGGGAGAAAAGAGGGCGCTTGTGAATGGGAGTTTGGGAGTTTGAGAGGGGGGAGGGAGGGAGGAAAAAAGGGATGGATGGAGGGATGAAAGACGGGAGGAAAGAAGAGAGGAAAGAAGGGATGAAATATATATATAGATAGATAAATAATGAATATAACGTTTTTTATCAGTGAGTGGGTTTATATCAGTTGAGTGGGTTACTTTCATCTCAATTCATCTCTTCCTCTTTTCAATATGCGTTTTATCAATAATTTATGATAAATCCGAATAATCAAAAAGCCCATATACTTCTTGCTATTGAAGCTATCAAAAAGAGAAAAAAATAAACATTCGAAAAGTTACAAGATATATAATATCCCAAATACAAACACTTACAATATAGAATCAATAGTTTTATTTCTTATTTTGAATATCGATCTAAATCTAATAATTTTTTAGAACTAGAGGAGAATATTATTTCTAAATATATAATCGATATGGATATGAAAGGATTTTTATCTAAATTAAGAAATGTAGAAAATATAGCAAATCATATTCTCGAATCGAAAAGTGCAAATCGTGTTGGGAAGTTTTGGGCATATCGATTTGTAAAGTGTCGAATCGAATAAAGATGTGTTTTAGTTGTGTTTATGATTTCAAAGAGTTTTTTGCAAAGATTCCTAAGCTTATTGAAGATGATTTTGATTGGTTGTAAATATACGAGCGAAATTTGGCATTTTAGATAGCAATTTCTATAACTTCGACAAAACAGGCTTTATGATAGGTATAATATACCCCGGAATGGTGATAATTAGTGCTGAATGAAATGGCAGAAGTAAGGTAATATAACTAGGCAATAGAGAATGGGCTACAGTGATTATATGTGGTAATAGAAAGGGTGAAACTGAATATCCTCATTTCTAGTGGTTCAAGGATAGGTTTATCTTTCCAATTGGTATACCGAAATCGATTTTTCTGTGGATTGGGCTATTAAATTTATATCTAATGGATGGACAAATAATGAGATGGGTTTTAGAATGGTTGAAACATTTCGATAAGTATATTAAGAATCGAAGAAAGGGTAAATATCGAATGTTGATGTTAGATGGGTATGAAAGCTATGAATTAAGAGTTTTTCAAGTATATTGTAAAGAGAATAACATTATATGTTTATGTTTATTATTGTATTCAAGTTATCTAATTCAATTATTTGATGTAGGTTGTTTTGGTAATCTGAAATGTTTATATGGTGGTCAAATTGATGGATTTATCAAGGCATATATTAATCATATTTCGAAGGTTGAATTCTTTATAGCTTTTAAAGCTGTATATAAAGAATCGATCATTTTTCAGAATATGAAATCAGGGTTTCGAGGAATAGGGTTTAATCCTATTTAATCCTGAAGCTGTATTTCGAAATTAGATATTCAAATTTGTATATTTACTTTTTTTTCTTTCAATCTGAATTAATAGATCTTTTAAATCCTTTGTAATTTAATTGAAGCTTTTTTTTTAATCAATATTAGTCAAATCTTGAATAACTCGTTATTATTTAAACTTCTTTATATTTATATTTGAGATTGTATTAGTTTTAGTTAAGAGTATAAAGAGATTAGCTTATAAGAATATACTTTTAAGTATAAAGATTTGTATATTTTGAGTAGCAAATGAAGTATTAAATAAACTGTTGATATACAAAAAAAACCTAATTGTTGTTAAAGAGGAATATTTATTAAACAAAAGGTTTTTGATATATTATCTTAACAACAAGGTTGATGTTTAGATTTACATGTCATAAGTATCAAAAAGGAAGGATCCTAATGGGGACGTATTTTCTAATCGATGTTGTAGTAAATGTGGAAAGGGAAATAGGTTATAATCTAAGAATCTGTTAAAATGATATAATAAATCCTAGATTATTAGAATCTTATAATTTTAATTAATTGATATTGTTGTTATTAATAATATAGTTTTGAATAAATGAATTGAGGTGAAAGTGATTTTTACTTATTGATATGACCTACTCACTAATAAAACACATTATAAATAAATACTTTATAAAATAGAAAAGGACTATAAAAGAAACTGAATGATATGATTTTGTACTATATACTAATCTTATATAGATATCAATTAATAGATAAATAGTATTTCTTTTCTTGCCGTATAGATAGGCGATGAATAGATAGAGAGATGAATAGATGAATGGATGGATGATGGCTTTGTAAATTTTACTAAGAGCTTCCAATTGCTTATGTAGTGGAATTTTGCGGGGGTTGGAGTGATGGTTGGGGGAATTGTGTGTGGGGTTTCTGTATGATGGGATGGGGGGTTTTAGATGGGGGATTGGAGGTCTGGGAGGGGGGAATAGAGGAGGTAATTGAAGAGGGTAATTGAAGAGGGGAATTGAAGAGGGGAATTGAAGAGGGAATTGAAAAGAAGGGATGTTGGTAAGTACATAGATACGCTTGGAATAATGGGAAACACGATGATTGTAGATTTGGGCTGAGGGGGGGGAGGATTTGTGGAGTATAGTTTAGGGAGGCCGGGGGGGAGTTTATTGTTTATTTGATATGTGACTTTTCATAGGAGGGGTGTTGTTATGTTTTCTGGGAGATATTGGGATTGGGACTGCGACTGGGGTAGGGGGAGAGGGAGATTGGGAAATGTGTGATGGAGATTTGTAATAGAGATGTTCGAGATGGGGATAGAACGTAATCGAGGGTAATTGATTTGGTAGGGGGTTGGGTAAGTGCTAGGGATGAAAAAAGGGAAGCGAAGGGAATAGAAAGGAAACAAGAAGAAGTTCTATAGTCCTGAACTCGGCAATTATGCGAGCAGAGGGTAGATACAAATTTGTATCCGATTAGCTGAGAATTTCTAACGATTACTTCCGAGATAGATGAAGACAGCGAAAATTGAAAATGGCATGGGGATCGCGTATCAGATCGCTATCCAAATGTTATCCGTGAGAAAAACTAATTCACCTCCTGACTCTTTCCTTTTTCCTCTTATCGCGAAACCTTATTTTTCAAACTATCTAGGTGTCCTTTTTTGTTCTCTGGAGCGATCGAATCAATGATCAACAGTAGATCTCATTGAGATCTAGAACGGAAGATTTGATAATCCCATTCACTTAGTGTGATAAATATATCAGGAAGTACGAATCGACTGATACATCGGCATATCGATAATAGCACAGGAGAAGAAACTGTCTAAGATATTTTTTTCGAACGTCCTGATCTAAATCGTGAGTCGGAAATTAGGGAAAGTACTCGCTCGGTTAACTATCGAAATGATGTTCGCTAGTTTGCGAAAGTGTGGTTTGGACTATTGAATTTTTGTGAGGAAATTTTGAGTTACGGATTTGCAGAAGAGATTATGTTGCAATGGTGGTGATAATTGTTAGGGTATATTTTGGAGATCGGGAGTCTGGAATGTGCGAGGAATTGGGTTGGGTCGGGTTTGAGGAGGGGGTGGAGTAGTTAGTGGATGAGTGGTGATGGATGGAAACTTACTTAATTGTGGTGGTGGAAGTAGTGGATAGATAATTGGATACGAATTAGTAGTTGCTAGAAATTTCATTTTAGGTAGGACATGGTAGATGTGCGATAATCGTATTCGGGAGCGATCTAGACCTTGATGAAGTTTGAAACTTAGTAACTGGAAGATAATAGATGATTCTGGGGAAGTCGATTGATAGAGTTTTTGGGGAGTGGGAGATTTTCTTTCTGTGATTTGAATGCTCGATAAGAATCCCGCCGTTACGTTATTATTAGATGACAGATGTACAGTGGTTTTTTTAAGGTTTGTGGTTAGGTGTCACGTAGGGTGAGTGGGGGAAGGGGGGTTTGACGAGTTTAGACGATATTCGCTCGTTTATCTTACTTTCGATCTACTATCATTTCGCTATTATAAATCGTAAAGAGGAGATGAACTCCATAAATTCCAGTTAGATAAATATCTGGATAAGCTATTGAGTCGAAACGAGTAACTTAATACTCGTGGAATGGTGCCGGTACTTCCGAGGTTGTGTTTTGCAATGGGAATCCTAGATGTGTAACGGAAGAGCATGATAAGAAGTGTGATTGGCTCGGTATCGAAGAAAGGTGGCATTAGAGGTTGAGAACAGATATGTCGATTGATCAACTCAAGCTAGTAGGCAGATCTGGGGAGTGTTACAAGGATAGCCTCGCGTGGAAAAATCGTGAATGTCAATCTAAAACGCGGGGAAAATTGAATGTAGGGAACGATCAATAGTTTAGTAACGAAGGAAAGTTCTAGAAATTGTGATGAATTATTCTTTGCTGTTACAAATCGGTACATCTTCTATCTGAACAAGTACACAGGTATAGTATGTGATTGAAATTCTAACTAAACTCGCCTAGTAATCTTACATCCAGCCGAGTTCCGAAACTTGAGCTTTATAAGTCGGTTAACGAGCCGAAATGCTATGATTTTTGAAGGCCAAAGATCAAATCTGTTCTTATCGAGTGATTTCTAATAAATCTAGGTTTAATATATTCAACTATTGATTTCGTATCAATTGGTTTGTTTAATCGAGTTTGTATTTAGAGTTTAATGAGTTAGTTAATAAGCTGAAATGTTACGATTTTTGAACGCCAAAGGTTAAATCTGTTTTTATTGAGTGATTACTATTCAATCTAGGCTTAACATGTTCAACTATCGATTTCGAATCAAACTGGTTCGTCTAGCCGAGTTCTGAATTCAGAGTTTAACGAGTTGGCTAACGAACCGACACGTTACGACTTTTGACACCAAAGATCAAATCTGTCCTGATGGTGTGATTTCCAATCATTGTAGCTCTAGTATGTTTCTATGGATCTTGAAACTACTTGAACGTTCAGATTGATTGGGTCTTTGGTTCAAAGAATTCTATTTCGTCAATTTGTGATACTATCGATTCAGTTAGTAACGATATTTCCAGACCACTACGCTAATTTCTCAAAGTCTATAAATACCTCGTTCTTTCCCACACCTCTTGCCATCAATCTCAGCATCTTTCAATCATCTACTCAACCATCTCTTGTCATTTACTCAACCATCTCTTGTCATTTACTCAACCATCTCTTCTCATTTATTCAATCATCTATTCAATCATTTATTCAGTCATCTCTTCTCATCTATCCTGTTATCTCTTCTCATCTGATTTATCTCCTCCCATTTACCTTGCCATTTATCTTATATCATTTATCATCATTTACCCCCTATTATTTATCTCTCACTATTTACCTTGTCATTTAGTCTGCCATTTAGTCTGCCATTTACTGTACCATTTATCTTGCCATTTATCTTCACCATTTATCTACACCATTTACCTTGCTATTTATCTTGCCATTTATTTTGCCATTTATCTCCTCCCATTTATCTCCTCCCATTTATCTCCTTCCATTTATCTACGCCATTTATCACCATCTATCTCTCTCTTCTTTATCGCTTATCATATATCGCTTATCATCTATCTCACAATTTATCCCCTATCATTTATCAACATCTATCTCTTATTTATTGCTTATCATTTATTCAATCATCTAACTCACCATCTACCTATCGCCATATACTCTACCATCTATCCCACCATCTCCATTTCTTTATTTACTCATACAATTTATCCTACCATTTATCACCATCTATCTCATCATCTCTTTGCCATTTATCTCTTACAATTTATCCTACCATTTATCGCCATCTATCTCATCATCTACCTCTTATTTATCTTTACTATTTATCTTACAATCTATCTCACTATCTATCACTATTTATTCTACCATTTATTACCATCTACTTGCTATCTATTTACCATTTATTTTATTATCTTCTTCACTATCTTTATCACTATATATTTGCCATTTATTCAATCATTTATCCCAACATTTATCTTACCATTTATTTCACCATCTATTTACCATTTATCTTACCATTTATCGCCATCTATTTCACCATCTATTCGCCATTTTTCTCACTATTTATCCGATCATTTATTTCACCATCTATTTACCATTTATCCCTTACCATTTATCGCCATCTATTTCACCATCTATTTACCATTTATCCCTTACTATTTATCTCTTACCATTTATCTCTTACCATTTATCGCCATCTATTTCACTATTTATTCGCCATATTTTTCACGATCTATTTGCTATCTATTTGCCATTTATTTTACTATATATCTCATTATCTATTTATCATTTATCTCACTATCTATTAACCATCTATTTCATCATCTATCCCACCATTTACCTTTCACCATTTATCTCCTTCCATTTATATCACCATCTATTTACCATTTATCTCACCACCTCTATCACCATCTATTACTATTTATCTTACCATATATTTACCATTTATTCCTTCCTCCATGTATTACCATCTATTTGCCATTTATCTCACCATCTATTTACTATATATCTCACTATTTATCTCCTCTCATTTATATCACTATCTATTTACTACATCTATCTCATTATCTATTATCATTTATTTCGCTATCTACTCCTTATTATTTATCTTGCCATTTATCTTACCATTTATCTTACCATTTATTTTACTATTTTCTCCTTACCATCTATCTCCTATCATTTACCTCGCCATCTATTTGCCATCTAGCTCACTATCTATCCTATCCATCTCTTATCATATATTTACCATATTTCTTATCATCTATCTATTATCATTTACCTCTCATCATTTATATCACTATCTATACACCATTTATTCAACCATCTATCTTCCACCATCTAATCCACTCATCTATCTCATTTATCTATCCCAACCATCTCTTGCAACTTATCCACGGATACCTCCCCAGTTGAGATCCTCCTATACAGCTGGAGAAATAGGGAGAAGCGGCAAGCGTCTTAAAGCCCTACGAACGGACACCTTTCCCAGTAAAGATCCTCTTGTACAACTAGAGAAACGGGGAGAAGCCGCAAGCGCCTTAAAGCCCCTCAACAATTCTGTTGATCTTTTTCTTCTCTTCTTCAAAAATGAAGAAGACCTATTTTGCGAACGGACACCTCTCCCAACAGAGATCCTCTTATCCAATTAGAGAAACGGGGAGAAGCAGCAATCATCTTAAAGCCCCTCAACAACTTTGTTGTCCTTGATTTTTCTTTTTCCACTTATAAAGAATATTTATTATATGAATGGATATCTCTCTTAATAGAGATCCTCTTATTCAACTAGAGAAATGGGGAGAAGCAGCAAATGCTTTAAAGCCCCTCAACAATTCTGATGTTCTTGTTTTTCCTTCTTCCACTTATAAAGAACACCTATTATATGAATAGACACCTCTCCTAATAGATATCCTCTTATCCAACTAGAGAAACGGGGATAAGCGGCAAGTGCTTTAAAGCCCCTCAACAATTCTGATGTTCTTGTCTTTTCTTCTTCAACTTATGGAGAAGACCTATTATGAATGGAACATGAAGATAATCTATCTCGAGCTTGAATTTCAAATTGCGCGGAATCAACGGGAATGAGATGGTGTATAATAAGCTTAGCGTAATAGAAATGTCATGAGTTTGTTGGAATACATCTGAATTTCACTTTGCTACATGGTGATCATGGTGATGTGAGAAAAAACCAAATTTTGTTTCGATTGTTTATGATATCTGGCCACTTAGCTTAGAGGTCAAGTGGATGTACTGTTGAGCATCGCTCGAAAAGATTTGTTGATGGATATCCGTAGACATTGGACAATGCTGAAAGAGAATGAAATATGTGGAATAAAAAGGTCAAGGTTGAGACTCTTCAGTCGAAAACCTTTGATATTGCGTATACATATGAAGGCTTTCATCTTTCACATTCATCAATCAATCTTAAATAAAGCACCGCCTATTCCAATTCTTGGTTATCAAATAAAAGTTTATTCCCCCTCCATTCACCCCCTCGTCACACAATGATATACAAAGTCCCCGCTACAGACTTCACCAACCTGAAGGAGACCCTGCTCGTGGAACACCAATGAAGGATGTGATATCACCCAATACAATCCCCAAGAACCAAGCACAGAGTCCGATGCATCTGGATCATCTCGTTCATCTCGTTCATCAAGGGTAAATGAGGGACTGGAATTTTCAGCTCAACTATGACCCGCAGATTCTCTCTTCGTGATCTCTTCGACTCAGACGCTGAAAAAACATTCCTTGCAGGCTCCTATAAGAGCTCCTCCTATGAGAGTCGGCATATTTGTCTTTCCAATCCCCGCATCATGGCAATGGTCGTCACGTTATTATTGTAATTTTTTCCGTCTTCATAAAGGGTAGCAGGAGGGCTCGAATTATCCACTCGATTATTCCAAATTTCTCCCCCTCTTGTTGGCATCAGGCAGTGGCGCGGATCTCTTACGGACAGATGAACCAACACGCACAGCTATACCAAGCGGACCAGCCGCAGTTAAGATGTTATCGCTGAAAGCGTCAGATACAATCGCAAGTGCGCCGTCTCCATTAAGGATTGCATTTGTGCTCCAGGTGCGATTGGATTCTATGATATAGATACTGTTAACATGCACTTCCGCTTCTCTGTTTGTAACACATTTAAACAAAGGAAGAGAATAAAAGTACCAACCAAAATGGGATGACATCCAGCTACCTCCAAAATCGCTAGTCCTAGAAAAACTGTAATGGCATTTGGGCGCATATTGAAAATTGTGAGTGGTAAGTTAATTTGGTCAAAAATCTTTGGTGAATATGATTGATGGTGCGGATATACAATTGCAAGATGAGTACCATTCCACATACAACAAATCCGCAAGTGACAATCTATGAATTGGAATGATCAACTGCTTGTGTGTCCGATATCACATTTTATCTACTCTGGATCAAGACGCAAGAAATATGTAGTCATCAAACTCTAAAGCTCCTTCCCCTGTCTCGTACATCTATTTATTCCTTCCTTGTGTGAAGAAGGCTTAGCCGAGCCTCAGTATTCTGGTGCTAAGAAGGTTTCAGCAGAGTAGTTGAAGTCTATGCAGGCTTTCAAAAGAGAATCACAATAACATACAATTCAATTAACTTCAACGTTTCGTCAGAATGATATAAAATAGTAGAGGTCACGCAATTGATGATGGGAAGAATTCATGTCCCGAAAATGAATGACAGTGTTGTAAAGTGTAAGTACGATATGTTTGACTATGAAAGCGAATTAAGATCGATGTATGAACACTGAAAGACCTTTGTAATTGATGAGGAAAGCACTGAATACCTGAACGCACATCTTACAACGATAAGTGAAGCAAGCCATACCATTGATTTTTGAAAGGTTGACATGTCTAATAGCGATATTGAAGTTCCGATCCTTCACCATTTCCTGATACGGGCGGTCCAAGATCACCTGGGCATTGTGCAATAGACAGTAGTATTACAGGTTCCTCCTAGCTGAGTCTTACGAATGTTACATAAGATTTTAATAATACATCAAATTCATGGCCAAAACAAATTGACTTTAACTAAGGACTCATTGTCCGCACGTGAAATCTCGAATTCTCGTGGATTTCAAGAAGGCAGGTGGACAATCACAGCTAGCATAAGAAAGAAAGATACGCAAGATACCGAAGAACTGACTCTATTAAAAAGTCCATTTAAACTAAACGATGAATACTATCTTGAGTATGAAACTTCACACATCCAATGTCAATATTGACTGACAATTTTATAGACTTAAAGTTATACATTCCTTACATTGTTTGGTTGAGATCCTCCTTACTTTATTACCAGAGTCCACGTTGATACTATGCCGGGCAATTATGCCGATCACGACTGGAATAGTAATTTACTAAAACAACAAGGTTGTCCGTTGGTATTTTCAAGTCTAACAGCGATGCATCATATTGACCATTTATGTAAACCCGGATAATTGCATTGACCAAATCGAGAAATTATACGATGCGCAGGCGATTTGACTCTGGATCCATCAGGACCATATAGAAAAGATCCTGACATAACCTGGGTCGGAACACCTCAAGTTTATGCTTGTCGAAATTGGAACGAACCTGTAGCTGTTATACAAAAAGAGGTGAGATATTTGGGTATAGGAGGCGGTACTTGAATGAAGTCGATTACGTTCGACATCTCAGCTGTACTTTGAGAAGGCGAGTGAAGCATTCGTACCACCAAAGCCAAAGCTATTAGATACTGAAACCTTGACTTCTTTTTCTTGTGCCGAGAAAGGGACATAATTGCAATTCATGTTCTCATCTGGATTATATAGATTGAGTGTGGGTGGAAGTATGTTCTAGGAAACAGTTAGTGATTAGAAATCGCACGTGATATCATATTGTACCTCTTTCACAGCCAAGATTGAAAAAATAGCTTCCACTGCACCAGCTGCACCTAGCAAATGTCCAATAGCACCTTTGGTACTACTGACTGAAATCTGACTTGCGGTATCAAGCCCTTCCTCCCCAAGCATCAATCTTGTGATAGCAGCATTTTCGGCAGCATCACCTAAAGGCGTACTTGTAGCATGAGCATTAATGTAATCAACTTCTCGAGGTGAAATTCCAGCATTCTTAAGAGCTCTTTTCATCGCCAAGAATGCGCCAGCTCCATCTTCCTTCGGAGCAGTGATATGATGTGCATCACCACTACAACCATATCCACGTATTTCGGCATATATTTCAGCTCCGCGAGCCTTAGCATGTTCCAATTCCTCTAAGACAACGACTCCAGCACCTTCTGCAATAACAAAACCACATCTATCTCGATCGAATGGACGGGATGATGATTCGGGGTTGTCATTATATTTGCGAGCAAGTGAACGAGCTTTAGCAAAGCCGGCAAAAGCTAATGGATGTATACAAGACTCAGAACCACCAGCTACCATCACATCTGCATCTCCGAAAGCAATAAATCGAGATGCATCGCCAATCGCATGTGCGCCAGTTGTGCAAGCGGTTGTGACTGCATGATTCGGACCTTCAAATCCATATTTCATTGATATATGACCTGCCGCGAGATTTATGAGGAGTTTTGGTACGAAGAATGGGGATACCGATTTGTAGCCCTATAAAAATCTCAATTAATATTTTGATTAGAAAAAAAAGATGTATTACCATTCTAGAATAATTGTTGCTAGCAGTATAAAGCTCATCCAATCCCCCAATACCACTGCCAAGGCAAACACCAGTAGATTCTTTATCCTCTTGTTTTTGTGGTTTCCATCCTGCATCCTGGAGTGCCATTTCCGTAGCTGCTATTGCATATTGTGTAAATTTGGCCATTCGTGAATCTTCTCCTTTCTCTAACCAATCTGTAGCTCGCCATGAATCCTTCGCATTGTTACCAGTTGGCACAAGACCAGCTATTGTGCTGGGAAGACTTTCTCGTTGTGAGGTTTCGAAATAATTCGTGGGTAGCGAAACTATACCACAATTTCCTGCGAGAAGACGACTCCATGTAGGTCGGATTCCTACACCCAATGGTGTTATGGCTCCAAGGCCTGTTACTACAACGCGTCGCATGATTGAAGCATTATGATGATGTCGCGGGGATTGATTAAATTGAATGAAAGCCGACGCGGCCGCGCTGATTAGTAAGCAATCAATATCCAGACGACAGCTCCCTGGGAGTCCTCAATCACCTCTTTTGCTATTGAAGACCCATCTCCTTATTTCATGAACCCACATCCCGTCTTCACTGCCAAAGACTTTATATCAAATTCCTCACCAGTTTAAAGCTTCAGTTACTTATACATCAGCTAATCCACTTTCCACCCCATAACATCAAAATCTCCTCTACATAATCATGATCTGAAACAACCTCTCAAGAGATCTCCCCTTGCCATCTCGTGTTTACTGATTTATTATGGTAAGTTCTTGTCACCAAGTTGCCAGTCAATTTTCTGCCCCCAAGACTTACTGTCATTACCTATTGAGTCCAGCCAACCGTATTGTCACAAACCATGTATCAAATCTCATTCGCACGCATTTGTAGCTTCAATGTATCACATCACATACTATAAATATTCGCTGGCGGATGATTGTAAGATGTTTGCATCGAAGACTTCGTTTGGTATTCTGTTGTTCCATTTCCTTGCTGGCCTACCATGTATATCATCTTTAAGTGGAAGAAGATAGAATGAGAACAATGAGCACGATGAAGTATCACAAGTGCTTACATGCCATTTCTCTTGAGGAGTTAAAGGTTAGACTTATGAATTGTGAAAATTCTCATCCTAGTCTCTACCTCTTTCTTCGAAACCCCTTATGCTTAATTTCAGTTATCGATTTGTGGAACTGTTCGATGTTGAAGCGCGAGTGTGTTCCAGTATCATAAAGTAGGTAGGGATTCCCTTCCGTAGTTATTTGGCAATTTCCAGATTATGTAGCAAAATCAATGAAAATCTTACGGGATAGTAATATGGATTGCAAGGGGCGCCAGTGTCATGATTTAATCAAAAAAACAAAGTTTTGTGTGTAAGAATCACAATTATATGATATCTATTCCCATCTATCTGAACTACGTATAGAATTAAGCTTGTCTATGAGATAACAGAGTGAATACTACAGCCCCTTCTAGCGTGGTTTTACTAGCTTTCTAGCACCTTAAATAGCTTCAACCTTTTATAGGAATACAATCAAGCTTTTCATCCTCTTCAATACGTATTTAGCCTCTTTTCTCTATGTGACCAATCATTACAGAATAAGTACACCCGAACAAGACACTAGGCCTATCACGACCCGGATTTCCTACCCAAAAAGTCTAATTATACAGACTAAGCAGATTACGATGACTGATTGAAATACATTACTCCCTCAGGGCAATCACATAGAAAAATTATACAATAGTTTTCGGAATTAAGTATGAAAGTGAGGCTATTCACATGTCATTCACACACACACGTATTGTCACATCACAATTAATCAAATACATCATCATCGAAGACAGCAGTGTTGGCAATTTATTTGTTATTTTGTTTCATACGAGCGCCATTCGGCCAAGCGAGTAGGGAAACCCCATCTTGATGGGGAAACCTAAACGACTCGTCTATATGAAGAAAGTCAAAAACATGCAAGGATACAAGTGCGAACAAACTCGAGATCTATGAAGATACAAGAATAATTAGAAATAAATAAACATAAGTGAAATACATAGAATTGAATACAAAGAAGACATTAAAAATTCGAGATCTATGAAGATACAAGAATAATCGGAAATAAATAAACAAAATGGAAGTACAGAACTGAATACAAAGGAAATAACAAGAAAAATTAATCAAAAACACGATTATTCAAACTGTTCATATTCATCTTCTTCATCCGTGGTTGGTAAGTCGAGAGTCCTCAAGTGTTGTTGCCATTGTTGATAGAGAACTTCTTCTTCGCGTGAGTGGTACCTGGGTTGTTGAGTCACTCTGGATTGTTGAGTGGCCCTGGGTTGTTGAGCGGCTCTTGGTTGTTGAGTGGCCCTGGGTTGTTGAGCGGCTCTTGTTTGTTGAGTGGCCCTGGGTTGTTGAGCGGCTCTTGTTTGTTGAGCGGCTCTTGGTTGTTGAGCGGCTCTTGGTTGTTGAGCGGCTCTTGGTTGTTGAGCGGCTCTTGATTGTTGTTGATGGGAATACGCGTAAGTGGTTCGTGGAATTGGGGGTTGGTTCCTAGGGGGTTGAGGGGGTTCGATGACGAGGAGACGAAGGTGAGCGTCAATTAGGTTTAAGACTCTCGCTTCTAGAGCGGTGAGTGGGCGTTGGGTGTTGTTAGAGTTGGAAGACATTGTGATGATAGCAGATGTGTTGTTATGTTGTTATGTTGTTGTGTTGTTGAGTGTTGGATGTTGTTGGTAGTGGTTGGTTGTACGAATGGAAGTCAGACTGTGTCTACGCAAATCAGAAAGAGGTCTTACACAGAGAATCCTCGAGCCTTTTATGTGATTCACAACGAACTAATTCATTAGCTTCTCAATCTTAGACGTGAAAAAATCTTCTCTTCAGATGATCAAAATAATTACTAGTGTCTCGAAAATTCTACTGGTGCTCTGCTATAGATAGAAGATCAGCATGGACTAGAAATGTTGTTCCTGAACTCTAATTTCTTGACAGCACATTCACGAATTTCCAACATTTCTTCCAGATTGTAGTGCTTTTCCGAATCTAGTCTTCACATTTCGAAGTGACTATTGCGTTCTTGATCTTAGCAGTTCGTTATTTCAAATCAATTCGTTAGTGAAAATCATCTCAACGCTTAGAAAAGACTGAATAGGTTAAAGTTAACAATTTTTCTACTATCATTGCATTCTAAACTCTGATCTATTGAATGAGCATTCTGATTCTTTCTCTCGGCAAATATTGCAGTCTAAACTCTAGACATTCCAGTTTATTTTCTCAGTAGACAGTAAATATATTTCTAATGGGAGTGGCTAAGATTGACATAGTTTCGTGCAATTTGACTACTGTGTGTGTACTATTCAACAGCAAGATCCTGCCAATCGTGGCCTCTTTGCATCGTACTAACTATATTTGGGCGATTTTAACGAAGTCTCGTTTACAGATTCTTGGTTCTCGGTTCTAAACCATCTACTCGATAAGATTGTCGATTCGGTAAATTCAGGAGATAGTATCACTCGTGTAGATTCGAAATTATGCAACTTTTAAGTACACCATTTGACTTCCATTCTACATTTCAATATCAATAGTAATCCCCTAGAATTATACAGCCTCAACTCTAGAGCGCTCTCTCTCGAACATCTTGTCAACACTATCGAATTTTTCTCACACACTAGAATAGCAAGAGTCACATCCAAATCCAAATTTTCATCCAGGCAGAAAAAGATAGAGTTTGTTCCATACACTCATGTGAACCATCTACTAGTCCACCATACTCTTGAACATCAACAGTTACATCAAAATTCTGGCATTTATCCGGACCCCACAAACTCGAGAGCAAAATAAACTTTTCTATATACATTCATATGGACCATCTACTAGTGTATCATCTCCTAGCACACCAAGAATCACATTCAAATCTCTATCTTCATCGTGACCTGATATTTCCGAAACAAAATAAACTTTTCCACATAAACTCAGGTGAATCATCTACTAGTACATCATTTATCAACACGAACAGGGGACTAGTACATCGATTCTTAGTACATGCTTTCAAGATAAGCATCTCCAATTCCCAACTCCCGACTCCCAGCTCCGGATTTTCAATACTCACAACCAATACAATCATATCAAATCTACCCCACCCCCTAATCCCAATGAGTTTAGCATGTACTACTGTCAATAACCCCAGACACTAAATTAGTACGCGGGGTAAGTGACCGAAATTCTGAAACCCATTCAGGAGACCCTCGCTAAAAACGTCTCGTTTCGAGAAATTAGTAATTTAATGTGAAGAGTCTACTTTGTTTTAGAATCTTGAGATATAGATTTAGATGTAGATATCGGTAGAAACTTCCAATTACAGAGATTTCAAGGCTTAAAAAACTATTCGTCGATCTAACAAATTCTGTCGATCCGGATCTCTCGGGTAGGGAAAACACCTTGCGAGATTCTCGATGCCGATCACGTCATATCATATTAGTGTAAACAGTGAACTTGTGAATGAAGAAACGTAGAATCTAAAACCTAAATCTAGAACAATGAGTCAGAGATATAGACTAAAATCGCTATCCAAATCCACGACCAGATCCTTACAATCAAATATCTAATCCCAAATATTGAGATTCTATTAATGCCATGTGACACATCTCCAAAACTTAAACTTTCTGAATTGATCTCTTTCAAAGCTTGGGGAGCGTTCAGATCGCGGATGAACCAAATCGTCTATATCCGTTAACTCCAGCTACCACGAAATACATTTTTCCGGACCATATTTTCCGGATAGCAGTTGGATAAAATTTATTAGGTGAGTGGGTGTTCCAAGAGCCGCCCATTAATTATCTAGTATAAAATCGTCAAAAGAAGACAGCTTATCATTTAAAACACATAACGTAACATCTTACCCCTCACAATCCTCTCATCCCGTATACCTCAGCCCTAAATCCCCACTCCAAACTCAAAGATCGTCCCGGACAAAAACCACCCACCTATCTCTATTACTTACCCCCAAGATTCCCAGAAACGCTACTTTCCGGAGCATCTTCCCCATCATGTTTGGATGGAATCTTCTAGGTGGGTAGATATGCCGAGAAATGCTCATGATCTCCAGTAAATGATCATCAAGATGAGATGAGCAATCTTTCAAAACACACAGTATGAAATCTCACCCCTCGCAATCTACCACTCTTATTCAGTATGTGCGACAGAAACCTCAGCCGATGAGATATAGAAATTCACACATAAAAACTCACATACACATGAACGCACCATTTTTTTCAAGTCCCTCCCCTGCCTACCTTTTTTTATCCTTCCATCCATTTATACATCCATCCATCAATCTCATCTCTATTTCCATACCCACTCTATTCAAATTCTCGCAACACAACCCTCTCTCAGAATCAGACACCCAACCCCCAATCCCATTCC